ATTTGCACATGACTCTTTAACCCTCCTTTGAAAGACTTCAGTCACACACACACACACACACACACACACACACACACACACACACCATCAACAATCTAACCCAAGATAGGAAACAAGGTGAGCATATGTGGCATTCAAGAATAATTTAATAGTGAGACATAGTTTCAGATGGACTGTAGTTTAGTTTAAAGAGATCACTATTTTTTTTAAAAAAAAATGTACTTTTATTGATTTCAGAGAGGAAGGAAGAGGGAGAGAGATAGCAACATCAATGATGAGAGAGAATCACTGATCGCCTGCCTCCTGCATGCCCCCCACTGGGGATTGAGCCCACAACCCGGGCATGTGTCCTTGGCCGGAATCGAACCTGGGACCTTTCAGTCTGCAGGCTGACGTTCTATCCACTGAGCTAAACCAGCTAGGGCTGACCATACTATTTAATGTATTAGGAAGTTTTGTGTTTTTCATTACAAACATCTAAAATTCTTTCTTTAATATTTGAAAATGTCAATATTAAACCAAAAATTTCAAGTTTTATCTAAGTTTCTTTGCTTTATTTTGAATAACTTAATTTTTCTCAATTGATTTCAGACTGCCATATATGAATATTTATAGTGTAAGGTTCCTTTTTACGTTAATTCAACAAGTGATTTAATATTGCCAAACATTGTGATAAATGCTAGGGATACTATAAGAAGTAAGTTTCTACACCAAAGGAATTAATGATCCAGTGTGAGATTTAGGTTAAAAATAAAAGGCAATTACAGCATAGTATATCAAGAACTATTAGACAGCTGATATTTTACCCTACTTGCAAACTAACAAGTTAGCCTAACACAATTTCATAGATGCTGACAGAAGATAGGAGAGTCCTGGGTCAGGAAGAAAGGACTTGCTTGAGTACTTACGACTATAGCAGTAGCCAGAGTATCAGCATTTTCTTGCACTGTACACAAAAAAACTTGCCCAAAACAAAATTCAGTGCTTACTGATTTATCACAAAGTGAATATCCATGTAATGAATACTCAGCTAAAGAGATAGATACTGCCATTACTTCAAAACCGCCCCTTCTTGCTCCTTCCCATCTTATTTTCTACCTCTTTCAAAAATCCCCCAAATTTTCTTTATAATTTAATTTTGCCTATTTTAAATCTTTATATACTAGTATAATAACCCAATTTTTATTTTTTATATCTGGATTCTTTTAGTCAATATTATGTTTCTGAGATTTAATCATGTTGCATGTAGATATAGCTCATTTATTTCTATTGTGAAATAATATTTCATTGTATGAATATGCCATTACTCCTTTCACTGTTGGTTGACTTGTTGACAGTTTTTGGCAATTAGAAATAATGCTGGTAAACAATATGTACCTGTTTCTTAATACAATTGTTTACACACTTTTATTGGGTTCATAGTTAGGAGTGGAATTTTGGGGTTCTGGAGGATGTATATCTTCAACTTCAGGAAATAATGACAAAATATTTGCCAAAATGTTTTTCACAATCATTGCACAATTTATATTCTCAGCAGTGTATGAGAATTCTCATTGTTCTTTATCAAAATGTGATATTGTCAGTTTAAAAATCTTAGGCATTGTGATTGGTAAGTAATAGTATTTTATTGTAGTTTTAATTTACATTTTCCTATTACTGAAGATGAACACCCTTTCATATATATACAGACAACTTGAATACTTACTTTTGTGAAAGTCTTTCTTAAGTCTCTTGCTCATTTTCCTCTTCTTCATTATCTTCTTTTGTGACTTGTAGAATTTCTTTTATATTTTAGATATGAGCCCTTCATTGGTTCTTTGTTGCAGATATCTTTTCCCACTTTTTAGTTTGCTTTTCCCACTCAATATTGTGGTATAGATACTGATGGTGTACTACCCACATCCCCTTGGCATTCACTTTTGTACAAGGGAGGCTTCTTATTGCAAGTAGCTGAAACTTACTGCCTGAGGACTTTCTCTGGCTGCAAGAGAGAATAGAGTTTGCTCTGGCAATAGGTCATAACCAATACTGAACAGGAGTAGATGAATAAATATTCCACTTTTCTTACCTGTGGAGATAGCTTCCGAAGCTTACCTTGTACCATCTTTGACAGGTCTGAGCCATAGTACCATGCAGCAGTAACCGGATCATCAAGGCATCCTCTTGTGCTGTCCTCCCCTTCCCTTCTTACTACTGCTTACTGAAATTACTTTTCAAATGCATTATTTGCCTCAAATTCTAGTTTCTCAAACTTGGCTTTTGGAGAACCAGTCCTGTGTCAGTAGTATCTTTTGATGAATAGAAGTTCTTAATTTAAATGTAGTCTAGTTTGTGTTTTTTCCTTTGTAGTTAGTGTTTATTGTATCCTGCTTAAGAAATTTTTATCTAACCCAATGTTTTGATTGCACCCATTGGATTTTAATTTATGGAGGTGACTGAGTGATGATATGGTGAGGCTGTCATTAAAAGAAGATTTTTATTACTTGGTATTCCTGAAAAGAGGGAGCATACCACACAAAATCACATGGGAGAGTATTAGGGTTGGTCAGGAGTCAAAAGGAGTGAGGGGAAAACATTGCAAAAATCTTTATTATAATGGGAAGTTGTTAGGTGGAAACATCCCCAGTTGGGTAGGATGCAAAACACAAATGTTGGAGTTTGTGGTTAGAGGGCTTGTAATATGATTTTTGTGCATCCATAAGAGCCATGACCATAGGGGAGATGTGAACAACTTTGGCCATTGTTAGGCTTTGTAATGAATGGATGCCAAGTTATTAATTATGAAATTTATAAAAACTGATTCGAACAAACAGGTAATGAAGATATTCTTCTTTGTTATATTCATGATGTTTATTGCTTTTTTAATATTTAGATTTACAATCTGCCTGGAATTGATTTTTGTATGTAGTATGAGGAAGGGACCACATTTCATTTTTCCTCCTATAGATTCATAATTATATTGACACCATTTATGGAAAAGACTGTCCTTTCTCCCACCTTTGTCATAAATCAAGTACTCAAAATTTATTGGGTCTATTTCTAGTCTCTATTTGGTTTCATTGGTCACTGTCTGTCAGGCCAATACCATAGTTTCTTAGTTATTCTAACTATTAGAAATTGATTTTTGTTATATTTCTTTTACCTTGTTCTTATACAAGGGTGTTTTGGCTATTTTTGGAAGATGTTTTCCTTTGGTAATAGTAATAATAGTTGTCTTCTGTTTGATGAATTCTATTTATTTTTAATCTTCCAGTTAGTTTCAGAGATCCATTATAAGAGAGAGTGAGATAACTTGTTTTAGGGTTACAAACCTACATTTTGGTATTTCTTTTAAATTGACCCATCTGATGACAGAACAGTTCAGATATTTATTGTGTGTACAATGGGGATAAAAGTCAGAAGGCTTCAAAAAGAAACAGTGCCATATTAATTACTACTATATCTCAATAGTAATATCCCTAAAGTTCTTGTCAGAATTGGTAAAGTAGTCCATCCATGAGAACTTTTTTATTTCCCCAGGTATAGTACCACTTTAGAGATTGTGCTATTATTTAATTTATAAAATGTTTATTTATAAAATTTAGGATGCTGGTGTTGCTTTATTTTGAAAAACTGTAAGTCCTTTGGGCCACTGGAATTATGAAAATTATTTTATTTGAACAAACAGGAACCAGTAAGGGAAATTTGTGTTATTTTGTAATTATCTGGGTTGTTTGGATTCAGTTTTTCAAATATCTTCTATCCAGAAATAATCTTTTTGCCTTTTTCAATTAATCCTTTTGCTCAGAATTGAAATGTTATTTCCTATCACTACTATGAGTTAAGGTGGATCAAGGAGCTTTAATAGAAATGAAAATTGGGTACAATGATGTGAACTCTTTTTCATTTTCAGACTTTCAGGAGACTAGTGTGCTAGTCTTACTATAATGGATCAATTTCCTAACAGTATTAAGGCTGGCAAATACCTTGGCTTGATTGATATATAAAAAGTATATGAAATAAGATAAGCATAGAATGTTTAGAGGAGAACACATTTTTTTGAAAAGCACATTTTGTATTAAATGTTTATGGTATCCACATTTGGATGTTTATTTTAATAGGTTAATGCAGCTGAATCAAAGATAACAAATTTAATATACCTAAAACATACCTTGGAACTTGTGGATCCTTTAAAGGTAATTTATGTGTGTGTGTATTGTACTTATTATTACTATTATTATTTTTTTTTTAATTTCAGATGTTTCTTTTGTCTCTTTTTTATGTTTTTATTTTAATTTTTTTATTTTTATTGATTTCAGAGAGGAAGGGAGAGGGAAATAGAAACAATAATGATGAGAGAGAATCATTGATCGGCTGCTTCTTGCATGCCCCCTACTTGGGATGGGCTTTAACCCAGGCATGTGCCCTTGATTGGAATTGAACCTAGGACCCTTCAGTCCACATGCTGACGCTCTATCCACTGAGCCAAAACAGCTAGGGAAGCGGTTCTCAACCTGTGGGTCGCGACCCCTTTGGGGATTGAACGACCCTTTCACAGGGATCACCTAAGACCATCAAAAAACACATATATAATTACATATTGTTTTTGTGATTAATCACTATGCTTTAATTATGTTCAATTTGTAACGATGAAATTGGGGGTCACCACAACATGAGGAACTGTATTAAAGGTCGCGGCATTAGGAAGGTTGAGAACCACTGGGCTAGGGCCTTACTATTATTATTTTTATTGAACTATTTGAGAATAAGTTATAGTACCTAAATACTAAAGTGTACATCTCCTAAGAGCAAATATGTTCCTTTACCCAAACACATATGATTATAAAATTCAGTATATATAGCATTAATAGACTACTATTATATAATCTATAGCCCAAATTCAAAATTTTCCAGTTGTCCTAATAATGTTCTTTATGGATTCCATCCTCCACGCCCCCCCCACCCCCGAAGTTACAGGGTCTAGTTCAGGACCATGCATTATATTTAATGTCAGGATTTTATATACTCCTTTGAATTGAAAAGTTTCTCAGCATTTCTTTGTTATGATATTGACATTTTGAAGCGTAAAGGTCAGTTGTTTTATAGGATATTCTTCAATTTGTCTATTTATTCATGGTTAAATTCAGCTCATGCATATTTGGCAGTAATATTCTGTAAAAATGTATATTTCTCATGTTGATGTCATTTCCCTATTTTTCTTTTTAAAGTTATAAGTAAGGTATGAAGAAATACTTTGAGACTGTGTAAATATCCTTTTTCTCATCAGACTTTCACTCATTGATTTTGGTATTTATTGCAACTCTTTTCTTTTTTTTTTTTTAATCCTCACCTGAGGTAATTTTTCTGTTGATTTTTAGAAAGAGTGGAAGGAAGAGAGAGAGAGAGACAGAGAGAGACACATCAATGTGAGAGAGATACATCAATTGGTTGCCTCCTGCATGCGCCTCACCCAGGGATCCAGCCTGCAAAGGAGGTACATGCCTTTGACTGGAATCAAACTGGGGACCCTTTAGTCTGCAGGCCGGTGCTCTATCCACTGATCCAAACTCTTACCTGAAGTCCTTGCTACTCTGTTGGTCACAAAATGGTGATTTTCTTATCAATTTTTAAATACTATCCTGTGCAAAATATTTTAAAAATGAAAGTGGCAGAAAGAACTTTTTTAAAAGAAAAAATAATGAAAAATAAGGAACAATTTTTATAGAGTATTCTGGTAAATATGTAATAAAAGCAATTTGGCAAAAGATTTCAAAATCATTGTCATCTTTCTTAGGATGAAAGTGGTATAGTAATAAATCTTCTCCCCAAATTGATAGATTTGATTCACAAATTTCAAATTTTGATATTTCAAAGACAAAGTAAAAGCCAAAGAACCTCAGGAAAAAATATAGCAAAGGAAAGAAAAAATACTAATTTCTGTCATCATAAAAATAATGTCATTTTTAAAGAAAATACTGGAATGACAGTGGAAATAAGGAAAATGACTCCAAAATGGAAATCAAAGTGTAACTTACTGCTACTGAGAGAACAGTGAGACAGGCAAATCCATAGCTGGCAGGAATAAAAATTGAACATATTTTACAGGAAATTTTTGAAACATATGTTTTTTGATCCTGTAATACCACATCTAGAAATCTGTCTGAAATAACTTAAAAAATGTTGACCAAGATTTATGCCTAGTGATGGTAATTGCAGCATTATTTATATTAGAAATTATAAGTAGCTTAGAACTCCAATAATTAGGGGAAGAGACAACTTGCTTCCTTCAGGGTGGAATGCATATTAGGAATTATTTAAAATTGTTGCTATAAAAGTTTTTTAATGCTTATGCTATAGTATTAAGTGGAGGAGAAAACATGCAATGAATTTTTTTTAAAGAAGTGATAGGAAATGTACCATAATATTTAGATTATTTATCTTTGGAAGGGTGGTAGAATTATGAGTGATTTAAATGTTTTTCTTTGTTTTTCTAAGTTTTTTAGTTTTTATCAGTGTATAGGTATTACATTTTATTCATAAACAAAAAATATTGCCATTGCCTTATAGCACTTCAACTGTTTTGTTTATTCAAGTAATGAAACTTATAGTAACCATTGAGCAAAATAAAATCCATACTTTTACCACATAAGAATGGAGAAATTGCTCTATTTTTTAATATACAGGGCACTTTTTTAGTTTAATGTAAATATAATGCAAATTTTGGAATTTTATGTAGAGTTCTCCAAATGTATAATGATAGCTGCTTAAGTACTTATCTCTGATAAGTAGTGGGTATTAACAGTTAGTTGGGAGACAAGAAAAATAAGTCATAATAATGAAGCAATGGAGGCCACTTATTGGCCCTGTGCTCTTAATATGGAAAATGGGAAAGATACCATTTGTCCTCACCTACATATCTAAAATATGTTTTATGAGTATATAAGTGAGAAGATGAAGCAAGAAAGCACTTGGTAAGCTCTAAAGTATTGAACAAATGTAAAATGCTATGTGTGAATAATGTGCAATTTTACAGAATAATAGTATGCTTCATTATCCTTAACTATCTTTATTTTATTCTTTAATAGATTGCTCTGAAGAACTGTAATACACCTTTATTAAGAGCTTACTATGGTTCCTTGGAAGATAAGAGGTCTTTGTCACTCAACTGTTAATCAAATATCAGATTATTCCTTTCTTCCTGATCGTCACTGATTTTTAAGAACTCTAATTATATTTTGTAGAATAATTACTTGAGCTTTAGTTAATAGATCCTTTAAACTATTCTTCAAAATTGTAACTATACATTTTATCTTGTAAATACCAATAAGTAGGGCAACATCATATTGAGTATTTGTGTTAATGGACAATTAGAAGAGCATTAAAAATCATACACAATTTTAATATATCTTTTTAGCCATTCTCTTATGGAAAGTCTTACAAATATAAGCATGTATTTTCTCTTTTGTTAAATCGTGAAGGGCCTAATATAACCAAAAATAATAGACATGAATACTGAATAAGATCTAAATACAATTTTATTTTAATATTGTTTATAGCAGTAGCCCCTTGGCTCTTGACCAAAATGACTTAATACTTAAGAACTGTTATTTCATTGATTTAAGATTCAGATCTTATGTAAGCCTACAAATTGGGGTTCATAATAAAACTGAATTACAAATAAAATACAGAACAGAATAAACAAAATGTTAGACTTCTGGTTTGCATAATCACTGTATTTAATCACTTGTATACTGTCTCACAATATATGTTCAGTCTCCCTTTCCCCTATTAAGTGAGGACCATATGTTAATCCTTCTTTGCTGCATCTAACAGAGTGCTTAATACATGGTATAAGTAAATGTTTATTGAATCAATGAACATGAAACCAGAATTTTTTTAACAGTTGTTCCAGGGTACATTTTATATTCATGGGCACAGTCAGTATGTATAATTTGGGAGATCTGTTTATTAGCAGTTGTAGAATTGCTCTTGGTGGCCTCATATTATTTTCAGAATCTAGTCCAACAAAGTAGTTTAAAATTGACATAGTCATAGTTCTAACTTATGTAAATTTAAATATATATTGCTTAATCTTTATTTTCAACAGTGATTTAAGGTAATATGATATTTGTTATCATTAACTATGATTCAAATTATGAATTATAATTATTTTACTTATTGCCTGTTATATTCTTTTTTTAGGTTTGGAATCATACTTGAAAAGATTAAAACAGTAATTAATGATGATGCAAGGTACATGAAAGGATGCCTGAACATGAGGACTCAAAAGTGCTATGCAGTGAGGTCTAATATAAATGAATTTCTGGACATAGCTAGAAGAACATATACAGAGATTGTAGATGACATAGCAGGTAATTAAATTGAGCATATTTTTTTTTGTTTTATAGAAAGAAAACAAACTTTTAGACATGCTGTGCTTTTTTGTTGGTGATAACCTGCTATGAATACTTTTAATTTATTTTTTTGTTATCAAACAGGTAAGATTAACACATATTACCACTTAAGGAATATTTTAAAAAAATAAAGATTAGAAAGTGTTATAATATGTCTATTCTTTTTCTCCAAAGTTAAATATAGAAGTACCTTTATAGAACATAGAAACTGCATAAAAAATGGAGGCTATCAGTATTAAAGGATTTCAGTGGAGGAAGGGATATCATTTTTATCTAGAAGAGGATGCATTTGAGTCAGTATAGTAATTTAACAAATATAGGGGTGAGCAAAAGTTGATTTACAGTTGTGAATACATAAAACAGAAACATTCTTATACAGAAACATGTGCATGAGAGGGGCACATCAATTGTCTAACACTGGCCAGGGCTGGAATATTTTGTTTTGTAAAATATATTTTATAGAGGGTATTTCTTATTGTGAAGTAATTATTGCAATAATTTATGTGTTCTCTTTTTTTAAAAAAATAGAATGAATCAAAAACTAATATTCCTAAAGGACTTGTATGCATGCATATAATCAGTGGACACAGACACCAAGGGTGTGAGGGCATGAACGGGAGTGGGGTAGGGGGACAATGGGGGAATAAGAACATATATAATAGCTTAATCAATAAAAAAGAGCTCGGAAGGTGGCTGCTGACGGGAAGGCAGGCTGCAAGATAGTGTGTGAGTGAAAGAACCGAAGGAGAGAGTGTGGATGTGTGGGGAGTGTCTATTAGGCTCAGCTATATTCCAAGGGACTGTTGGGGACTGCCAGACCGGGTTCCCCTGACCGGGCTCCCCTGACCAGGCAGCCCCTATTGCTGTTGAAATCTCTCCCGGAGCAGCTGCCTCTGCCGCAGAGACTGCGCCATCTTGAAGGCGAGAGTGGCTGTGATCAGAAGCCTATCCTTATCTTCAACCGGGAAGAACTCGGATACCTCCCAGGACCCTACAACCATGATACCCAGGGACCAGCTACAAACCCAGGAACCCCAGGTCTCAAGCAGCGTGAATACGCGGATGCGGACGAGCCCTGCACCTTCTCACGGAAAGGTCAAATATCACCTAGAGAAAGGTGAGGTCTGCAATCCAGGCTGGAGGGAGAAACACACGCAGCGGTATCTAGGGTTCAAAGGAAGTCTGTGCCCCACAAAATCCGCGGCAGTTGGGGTCAGCATAGCCCACGAATGTGGAAGGGGGTCCACAGGACTCCTGGCAGAAGGGAACTCTAGAAATCAACCCATAGCTGGGCTGGGCACAGGTAAACAGCCTGAAGTTCTACCAGTATACTGGCTGTACAATGTCAAGGAAAAAGGATGTGCTCAGAGACGCGCGCAATGCTGGGGGAAAACGTCACGAGTCCACTGTCTCTGGTTTTTTTTTCCTCTTTAAATCCTTGCTTTTGATTCCTAAGCCCAGTACATAGGATCTCCCAATTAAAAACACTCTCAGAGACTGCAGGGAAAAATTGTTTTTGTGGAACCTGGGGATCAGAGCGGGGAGAAATGATCAGAAAACCAGTCTAGGGCAGTCCATTCCCCCAACGCAGTATTAAGTGCAGCAGGGAAAACAAAAACTAAATACTGGATAGAGAGGACTTCTGGCCCTGGATGTCAATACAGAAACACTGCCACCCAGGGGTTGAATCACAAATTGACTCTTGTATAAATACAACTAAATGCAGGCTGAGAAACGAAGAAATACCGCCTGCTTAAAAACAGGCTTGTGGCTTACGACACAGAGAAGCTCAATAATGGGAACTCAATAATGTCCTGACTACCTTACAGGAAACAGGCATGCCAAACAGAACAGTAGAGGAAGTGAATGACCTTCACATTTCCATTTTTTATCTTTTACTTAAACTAATTTTTTTCTTTTTTCTCACTTGATTTTACCTTTTTAATGATTATATTTTTATTTTTAAATAGTATTACTACTATTATATTACCTTTTATTAAGTTTCATTTTATTTTTTCTTTAATTTATTTACTTTATTTTGGGATTAGTGTCCTACATTCTATTTTCATTTTTCCTTTAGCATCATTTTACTCTATCTCAACTTTACCTTTATGCCAACACTCTTACTCACTTTTCCCCTTTTGTTGTCCTGTTTCTCTTACCTTATTCCTGCTTTAGATTTTCCCTATTCTTTCTTTTACCCCCTGTCAAAAATTCATCCTAATTATATATCTAATTTCCACTCCCCTGCTCCAAGTACATATACACTTCTCTCTTCTCTTTCTTCACTATCCAATTCTTTTTCTCTCTTCCCTTATTTTTTCTTTTTTTTTTGTTTTCTGTTTTTCTTTTGTTTTCTTTTGCTGTATTTTGCTCTTCTTTCTCTCTGTCCTATTGTTTGTTTTCATAGTTGATTAGTTTACATTTTTGTTTGTGTGATTGTTTCTCTTTTTTATTTTGCTTTTGTTTTTTCTCTTCTTGCTTGTTATTAGGTATTGTTTATAGTTTGCATTCATCTCTGGGTGTTTGTTGTTCACATTTTTTTTTGATTAGTTGTTTTATTGGAGTTTTCTCCCCACATAGTTTTTTCCCCCTTCTTTTTTCATTCTCTTTGTTTTCTCGCTTGCTTTTTTCCATTTCTCAATATCATTTTTGCACTCTTTTTTTTAATCCCCTAATTCTCTTTTCTCTGGTGGTCACCTTTATTTGGGGTTATTAGTATCGTGAATACATTTGTGTTCAGTGCGTTGTGTGTTGTGCCTGATTGTGTTGTATTTTGTGCCTTTAAGTCAGTGCAGAAGAGAGAGAGGTACATAACCAGACACCCAGAGAGGAGAGATCATGGGGAGACAAAAATACAGCCCACATAGAAAGAAAAGGAGGCATCACTAGAAAAGGAAGTAAAGGAAATGGCGGCAAGCAATATGTCAGAGAAAGAATTCAGAGAAATGGTCAAAAGGAAACTGAAAAGGTTGGAAGACAAATTTAACAATATATGTAAGAACCAAGAGGAAATGTACAAGAACCAAGAAGAAATGAAAAATGACATTACTGCAATAAAGAACTCAATAGAAACTATCAACAGTAGACTAGAAGAAGTGGAGGACCGCATCAGTGAGCTAGAAGGCAAGGTAGGAAAAAATACCCAAGCAGAGCAGCATCTAGAAAAAAAACTTAAGTAACAGGAGAGCCTAAGGGAACTTTGGGACAACATGAAATGAAACAACGTTTGCATAATAGGGATACCAGAAGGAGAGGAGGGGGGAAAAAAACCAAGATGGCGGCATAGGTTAACGCCAGAGTTTGCTGCCTCGAACAACCACTTCAAAAATATAACTAAAAGACAGAACGGACATTATCCAGAACAACAGGAAGGGTGGCTGAGTGGAAATTCTACAACTAGGAGGAAAGAGAAAAGACACAC